CTGCAATAGACAGGTATCATTGTGCAATGGAATCGGGAAACCACAGATAACCGATCCCTTCATGTCTAGTACGCTCGTAAACTTACTAAATATTATGGCGATAAAAGAGTGGAATTGCCTTCAGGGTATTAATGGATTCATCAGGGAGTTCGTTGCTGGTTAGGGCCAGTAATTTGGTGAAAAGGATAGGAAGTTTGGGTTTAGCTTGTCTTTTACACATTGCCAATGGATAAACAGGTAGTTTTCAAGATGTTTTGGGCTCTGAAGTTTTGGCCACGGATGGTTTTGATTGTGTAACTTCTGCTCAGAGATGAGAGCCTCTAATTGATGGGCTGGATGGACAGTTGATAAATGAGGACGAAGGGGTAGCCACGTCGTTTTTTGTTTACTCCAGCAGGATTCCTCGTTCAAATCCCAGCAGTCTTTGTGTGAGGTGGTGGTTGATCAAAATATAGAGATTAATGCTATATTCAATCACCGGTCTGATAAATGTTGTTAAAAGCTAGTTTCAGATCGGCCCTTTAGTTTAGTGTTTGAAGGCGGAAACTCTATCAAAACTTCAGGTGTTTGAATTATGGTTATACAGAAGAATTCTGAAGATACCATGGACAGACAAAGTCACCAATGAAGAAGTACTGCGGAGGATGAAAACAAGCGCAGATTTGGTCAACAAGAGCCGTAAGCTGGAGTACTTGGGACATATAATGAGAAATCAAGGCAGATACAAGCTACTCCAATGCATTTTGCAGAGTAAAATTGAAGGAAAAAGAGCCCCAGGACGAAGAAGAATATCCTGGCTTGCTAACTTGAGAGCATGGTATAGAAAGACCTCAACACAGCTATTTCGTATAGCAACCAACAAAATCATTATATCCAGAATGATCGCCAACGTTCGGAACGGACAGGCACCCTAAGAAGAAGAATATGGTGTATAGTATAGGTGCCAACAATGAATCTTGTGGAACACCTGCCTCAAGTTCCTCTTGGATTCATTTTTATGTTACCCACAATAATATCCAACTTCTGGGCATGCATATTGCCATCCAGGTTTGATTTACGTTAGAGGCTTACACAAAAAAAATAGATCTAAAGAGCAAAAAGACCAAAGGACAAATGTTAGAGATAAGACACATAAACTTGATAACGTCAGGAAGACACCGAATTAAAACTTTGACCTTAAGAGGTATAAAGACAAAATTCAAGAAGTAAAAATTTGAAAAATTAATATCAGTAATAAAAAAACGAAACGTAGTATGTAACAAAAAGCAGCGTTTTATAGAAATATATTCCAATTTAGGTAAAGAGAAATAATAATAAATATATACCAAATGTTTTGTTTTTGCTTGAACAATTTTTATCATATACCTGCGTACACAATTAAACCAATCGAAGATATTAATACATAAACCCGGCGAGCAGCTGTCTATTATTGCGACAACTTTCATCATTCAATAATGAATGGAATTTGGCACACACGTTGACATAAATACTTTGAAAATGCAATAAATTAGTTATTTAAATCAATTACTTTTTTAATGGCAATTCAAATCAATATAAATATCCAACAGATATTGATCACTTGTTTAGGTATTGTATAAAAATTCTTGGTAATGAGGCAACAACGCGATTACAGATGTTAGATTGTAAACGATAGATAAGTACATCCTTAGAGAACTACTTTTTAATAAGATGTTGAATTACTGAGTTGTTTAAGGAAATTTATATGACTAATTCTGCAATAACAACGTACTACCGACAAGAATCAAAATCAGAATCTAAGAGAAAAAACCAGGCTTGACTTTTTACTCAGTCAGGAATGTGTCTTTTGGTGTGCAAACCATTTTTTCAAGCTGTATTTCAAGTTTCTGCTAGTAGATTAGACAGACTGTCCAAATGTAAATCCATAGAGGAACACCACTATCTTGTGATAAACGTGGCAAACATCCATCACACAATAAAGCAGTCTGAAAACGAAACTGAAGGAATTCATTGGAAAAATTTCCATGGTACGAATCTCATTATAACTGTGATAAAAGCAACCATAGGAAACACTTGTCTCCAGATTTAATTCTTGGTAACATTCTCATCCACCAATTACTGACTCTTGTAAAACCAGACGAAATCACTAACGGGGCAATGAATTATCTTCCTTCGAAAGCAATTGTATATTTAAAAATCATAACAAACGCAATACTTAGATACAGGCACTTCTAAAACTGATGGAGGGGAGCTCATGTAATTATGATACCGAAACAAGGAAAAACAACACATTTCCGCAAAATTACAGGCCGATTAGCTTACTTTCAGCAGTTAGCAAGATAGTAGAGCGAGTCGTCCAAATCAGACACCAATTAGAGACAGACAGGCTAAGATTAATATAAGAAGCACAATTTGGATTTAGAGCTCAACATTCCAGTGAACTACAAGTACTCAGACTTACAGAGTACATAGCAGCTGGATTCCACGACAAAAAATAAATGGAATCAACCTTCCTGGATGTAAGCAAAGCCTTCTACAGAGTGTGACATGAAGGATTGACATACAAAATGAAAAAATATGGATACAGCGTGGGAGTGACGTGACATCTCCACGAATCTAAGTGACCGAACAATCGCAGTAAATCGCAGGAATTTGGGTATTTTTGTCAGAAGTTTACAGACAGGACCATATAGCCATAAATGCAGGAAGATAATTACCTTCAACAAGCAAAGAGATAGTTTAGAAAAAACATCTGACAGTGCAAGACAGACTTATCGAATGGCAGACTAAAGCTATATACCTAGGAGTTATAATGGACAAATGTTAAACGTTCATAGCATACGTGGGAAGGCGACAGTCCAACAAACAGCAACGGCCAGAGCTGCAATAAGAGGACTCGTAGGAAAAACAAGCAAATTAGCAATGAAAACCAAATTAAGTCTGATAAGCAGAATCATATTACCAATAATAACATATGCATCTCTTCCATGGGGACACCCATGTAACGCCAAAAAAAAAAGGAGAAGCAGCATACTTAAGAGAAACTGCAAATGTGCCCAGATACATTGCTGAACGCTTCATGTTTAGAGATTTGAAGCAAGTAAGGTTACTAGCGATGATAAAAGAAAAAACCAGAATAAAATTCACAGAGCTTGAAGATCGTCCAAACTGTATGCTGAGAGAGGTATTAGAATATGATGGTATATATCTATATAAATATATAGATAATGGGTCTAAATATCTAATAAAGTCTAGATCATATTGGAGCTCTATCAGAAGATATATCACGCTTGCACTGAAGCATCATACTTCTCAGCATGATTTCTTTTTCAGACATCCCTCATAAAAAATGCTGCTGCCGCCTAAAAAATCAAAAAATTACTAACAAAATGTGCAAGCCACAAAAAATACTACCAAAACCTAGAAAAGGGGCAAAAGGGGCCCATACCGCCGAACTGGTCCTAGCACGGAGCGGGGACTGAAGCGAAGGAAAATGGGGAAATTTCTGCGCCCCTTAAGATAGTCCAAAATAAAAGAAAACTTATTAATTATGCCTTTTATATCATTTGGTTGGTGTTTCAATTAGAAGGCAAATATCTAGATCTGCCATTGATGGGGCTATAGTGCCTCACGCTGCCCCGCATAACTCGGGAAAAATATCAAGTGGGGGTTCTTGTTTCCAGGACTCCCACATGACAATCATTTTGGCGACTAAAGCCATAATAGTGCGCTATTGGAAGGGGAGGTGGAGGATGGTCTGGTACATTGAACAATGTCTTTTACACCAATGTATTGGATATCCAAGATAGCAGACTGCAGCGGAGTGTTCTGCAGAAGAGACTTGAGCCTTGAAATGAAACTTCGCCTGATGAGATGTTACGTACTTTCTGTGCTGTTCTACGGAATGGAGTCATGGACGTTGAAAAAGATTGATATCAAAAAATTAGAGGCATTTGAACTGTGGATGTATCGCAGAATCCTGAGAATATCATGGACCGAGAGAGTCACAAATGTCGAGGTCTTGAGAAGAATGAATAAAGTAAAGGAAGTCATATTTACGATCAAAAAACGAAAACTGCAGTACTTGGGACACATTACAAGAGGCGAAATATATGAATTACTTCGAATAATTATGCAAGGGAAAATAGCAGAAAAAAGGTCCATAGGAAGAAGACGAAACTTCTGGCTAAAGAATCTACGGGAATGGTATAGCTGTAGCAACAACGAATTGTTTCGGTCAGCAGTTTCGAAAATACGTATAGCCCTGATGATCGCCAACCTTCGGAACGAAGATGGCACTTGAAGAAGAAGAAGAAGATTGGATATCCAAATGACATTTTAGGGGTGTACAAGTCTCACAGGCTGGTTTCATTACTATTGCTTGCTCAGTTTTGTTCTTGCCACTAATATTGATAACACTTCTTTATCACGTTCGCTAAACTGATAGTCGTAAAGAAAGACGTAAAGTGAAGATGAATTGTATTAAAGATGCAGTATGTCGTAAATTATCAATTGCGCACACTCAGACAAGATCAAAAACGACCGTAGACACTAAAAGTACCCTAAAATAATTAATTACCGTCACTTATCAATCATCATCGGAATGATATGCCATAATTTTAAATAATATCTTCATTTAGATGCAACTATGCAACAACATATACATAGAAAACACATTAGATAAAATATGTTGACTACTTAATAATTTAGAATTCTTGTATTTCATATTTGAAATAAAATAAACTATAATTTCCACATCAATCTGTAACAAATTCAATGTCAGTGCTATAAACTAGTTAACCTACATAGCAGACTTTATGCAATTAGTTTCCCTGGTCGGAAGAAGTGGAAATAAATAATGAATTGTTTGTAAATACTCGCTAAGGATGTATGTGGGTTTTATTCTCATTTTTTAGTATTTGTTTGTATCGTTGACTAGTATTATGAAGTAGAGCAAAAAACGGAAAGAGTCTCATAAAGCGGTAATTTACAAGTAATAGTAAAAATGTTCTCATACTCACTTGGAGGGCGTTTCGGTAGGGGAAGTTCAGTCTCAGTAGGTTCTCTTTTGATTTGCTGCGACTCCAGTTCGTGCTTTTCGGGTGGCGGTGGCGCCTGGGGTGGTTGCAGAACTTGAGGAGGAGGTAGTGGCGCCAGTGGCTGAGATTGCTCGTTATCACTCGTAGAATTCTCAATTTTAGGCAAGCTGGGAGGTAATGGAGTACTACTGTCATCACCGCTCATGCTGAGAGGTTTGTTGTCGAACATGTGCTGGGGCATGTCTCTGATCTTGTGTGTGAGCATATGCTGCTTCATGTTGCCCTGAAACAATAAGAGTATTATAAATTATGAAGAATTTCTTATTGGCGGGTCTTACCGCCTTTTTTGTCCTGGATGAGGCGTATCCAGGCGTCATCGGTAAACAAAATACTGAAGAAATGGAGTTGAACAGAGACGATTTTTGATTTTGCGCTCTCCAGTTTTCTACTTCATCCTGGATACGCCTCTGCGTACAATGACACCCATCCTGAAACACAGACTAATCAACAAACGGACAAATCACAAGAATTCCTCACTGGATGAGAGTTCATCCAGTGAGGAGACTAAATGTTATTAGTATATGTTTTGGGAGTTAAATGTCATATTTATTTTGATAAAATTCTGTGTATCATGCGACAATAAAAAATCTAGCAGACCATAAATATTAAGCTATAATTTAACTCGATAAACACAGTTATTTATATTATACGTTTATTAACATGTTTGAAGACAAGTGAAATATCAGGCTTGAAAACAATAGAAATAAAATTTAAAGGAATCTCTTTGGACATCTAACATACTATGTACGAGGATCATTTGATAATTATTATGATTTGTAACGGAGACTAATGCAAATTCGGAAGGATATGGTACAATACTCTGCAGAATTTTTTAAACGACATTCCACCAACGATATTTTGCCTACCGAAACTCTTTTAACGATAGGCCCTTTTAATTGCCATTTATTACTTATTGCAAATGGCTAATTTATTCATTCAATCGAAATTTCTCCAAATAAGTTCATTAACCCTTTTGACCCTGACGGTGGCAATTATGTAGCCTATAATTCGGCACAGATATCTGTGATGACTTATTGTATTTCAACATTATTCTAATAGAGGGCGGCTACAGTCCCTATATTAGATGATTTATATGTCATTTGAAATGTAAACATGTTTTGTTGGTCTACTTGAAGTAAAGACTGGTGAATGTGATCCTTTTTCACTTGGTAAGTATTTGTTTTTTGTTCTAATATTGCTATTGTGTTAAAAAAAACCTCATGTAGCTGTTGGTATTTACTAACTAACATTATGAAAAGTTCATTTAAGAATAAATTGTAATTGTTTCTGCATTTGCAAATATTTGGTATGGTTCTATAAAAGGCGTACGCAAATGCCACCAGTATGTGTTAAAGGTTACAAACAGTGGATTAAATAGATTAGAATTTATGATAAGATTTTAAACAATGAATTCTTTTCAACTGAGTACTATCGACTGTGAACCCTTTTCTTTAAACGAGATTTCATTGGCTTTATTTGAAAGAACAGATACTCTTCCGGGTCAGCATAGTATAACATTTTCTATGTTGCAACATCTTCCAGAGTCAACAATCTATTTTCTGCTAAAACTTTTTAATTTATGTCCTAAAAGGGAAAAATATATTCCAACACAATGGAAATCGCAAACAATTTGTTTAATTCCCAAACCCAACAAAAATATAAATTGTATTTCAGGCTGGAGACCAATTGCCCTATCCTCACGTGGCAGTAAGCTTTTAGAGAACATGATAAAAATAAGGTTAGATTGGTATGTAGAACATCATTTGATCCTATCGCCTTTCCAAACAGGTTTTCGTAAATGTAGAGGGATGTCTGAAAACATTATCCATCTGGTTAATAAAATTTCAATTAATATTTCAAAAAGAAAGCCAGCGGCGGCTGTTATGTTAGACATTTCTTCAGCATATGATAAAGTATCTATTACCCAATTATTAGACGCTCTGGGAGACCTCAATTTGCCATTTCCTTTAATCTATTGGGGCCAAAAACAGCAAATGTTGGTCTACCTTTGAGTCCAGTATTATTCAACATTGTTATTAACATAATAACGTCTTGTGTGCCTGAGGATGTCCTAATGACTCAATATGCAGATGATGTTGCTCTCTATTTTTTCGGCTGCAGCTGGTTGGAGATGCCACAGTAGAGAATATATCTGTAAAACTTCTTGGCATGGGAATGTGTTTGTCATCTAGCAAAAGTCAAGCGATTTTTTTTTATAGAAATAGACATAACACTCCGAACACTCAAATATTAGTAAATAACATCTTGCTTGATTGAAAACAGGAAGTTTCTCACCTAGGAGTTATTCTAGATAGTTCCCTTTCTTGGAAAAGCCAAATTGAAAATATGACGTTAAGGGCATCCAGTGGAGTCAATATAATTCGGTGCCTGTATCGAACATGGTGGGGAGCACATCCTGCCACTTTACTCATTTTATATAAGGCCTATATTAGACCATGCCTTGATTATGGATAGATTTTTCTTGGAGGTTGTGCTCGTTCCTTACTTACAAAACTGGATAAAGTTCAATATAGAGCTCTCAGAGTGGTCGGGGGATTTATGAGGTCCGCTCCAGTTCATATTATTTTGTCGGAATGTGGGGAAACACCGTTAGATCTTAGAAGGATTTGGCTAGCATCTAAATTTATATTAAAGGTTGTAGCGTATGACAACCCAATATATTCTTTAATAGAGCAATTTCATAAAGCATTCATGAAATAATTTAGTTTTTGGAGAAGAAATTACTTCCCACCAATACTGGCTTCCTTTCAGAATACGCTTCATGAGATTCATGAGGTGGCACATAACTTCTTATTTCCTTGTCAATCCTCCCCACTTCATTTTCAGATTTCTCCTACAGTTTATGAAACTCTCATCCTGGGGAAAGAAAGTAACCAAGCCAAGTTTGTGTCATGGTACCTTGATAACTGGTCTGAATATAAACTTATCTTCACAGACGGTTCCAAAGATGAACAAGGTAATATGGGCATTGGTATTTACCTTAATGAAAGCACCGAATTAACAGCAAGATTACCATCTGCTAATTCAATTTGTTCAGTAGAATTATTTGCGATAAAAAAGGCATTAGATTTAATTCAACAGAATGACTTTGAAAAAGGCCTTATTTGTTGTGATTCAAAAAGTGCTCTAGTCAAAATTACAAGACCAAGTTATAAGGCTGCAGCAGACACACAAACTCTTCAATTAAAACAAAAAATTTAGTCAACTCCATGAACAAAATAAAGAAATTAAATTCGCTTGGATTCCAAGTCACACCGGGATAATGGGGAATGATAGAGCTGATTATCTTGCTAAACTTGGAAGAAAGCTACCTGTTACTGAAGAACCAAAGGCTTGCTTTAAAGATTTTCAAACTAAATATAAGGAAAACCTATGGATGAGTTGGAAAAATCGGTTCCAACAAATAGGACTGGTAAAAGGAATAACATATTGTACACATGTTACGGTTCCATATAAAAAGGCCAGGTTTACAAGTTTTCCTAACCTGGGAAGGGGCATAATTGCACAAATGTGTCGTATGAGAAGAAGACATTGCAGCGTTCCGGTTCATTTAATAAGATTGAAAGTGATCAATATAAATCTGTGTCGATGTGGCAGTTTCGGCACCTTACTTAGAAGTGAATTTCAAGGTGTTCCAACATTTATTGATGTGTTGTTCAAAAACTTACTGCTTGCAGTGCAAAAGTTTTTAGCCTTAACAAGGACTCAAGTGTAGTTCGTTAATGTACATTATAAGATTTAATCTGCTTGCTTGGATTGCATGTGCTTAGTGCGGTTTGGTGCAGTATTATAGGACTAGAACAACAGAACTTTAGAACTTATGTGAAAGAACTTTTGAATATTTGTTTTTTTTTCTCCTTTAATTACTGTTGCAGGTTCAGGAGCTATGAGCTGAAGCCCAGATGTACCTTAGGTACGGCTCTTGAACAGCTAAGGCCAAGCAAATGAATGAAAGAAGAAGAAGAAGAAGAAATTGAAAATTTATATCGATGATTTTTTGTATTTTCTGCGTTATTCCTTTAATTTTTAAATTTTTTGTATGCATTTATATAAAAAACAGTTCTTTTCAGAACTATTTAGATATGGATTCAATGCCAAGTACTAGTGGTAATTATCCTTCCCCACTTAAAATCGCTGAGTAGATTTGGACCATTTATCATCAAATGAAAAACAATGCCTTATAAACATGTACAAACAAATAAAAATTGATAATCCTGGAATAAAATAACAGCCATGGTAGCAAAAATTAAACAGGAAACAGGTTAGTTTTGCAGAATAGTTATTGTTAACATCAAGACTTACTATAGTAATGTGCTAATTTTATGTGTTGCGAATTCAACTGTTTACAGAACAATTAAGGAATATAAGCAGACTGTGATAAAAAAGAGGTCCTAAACAATAATACCTGTATATTATAATAATGAAAATTCCATTGGATTTTATCACGAATATATCGCTTTCGTATACGTTCCGGACGATTTTCTTCTACAATGTGATAAATAATCTCTAAAAATTCTTCATCTTCTTTAACATTTCTTTATTGTGATTAGAAAAACAAAAAAAAATATAGATTGGAAGTGAATTAGAAAAAATTATTATACAAAAAAAAAACAAAGTATAGGTTAGAATCGATTATTAGATTACCGCAAGGCCGAGATAATCAACCAAAAAAGATGTATTTGGTGACTTTTCTAGTAACTTTCTTGGGTGTGAATCTGTCTTTTTAGTTTACTGCTCCTGGTTAAAAAACAAACCATAGCAAAGTCTGGATCGTGAGCAATTGTATATAATTAGATGATGTCGACAGTTTCAATATCAGTAGTTTGAATTGAGTTTTTGAAGTTTAAGCTTGTCATTCTGTTAAATTATTCTGATTAGACTAATGCACAAATTCTTAGAAATTAAAGCCAACTTACACAATGCCCATGTTTAAAATAAATACTACTGCTAGTATCGATAAAGTCATACAATTCCACCATCGAGATGGACTGGTAGCTGGTACGCCACTTTCCAAAATATTAAAGAAATTATTCACTATTAATATATTGCAAAAACAATAAATAAACAATTTTTGAAACATTTAATATTATTAGTTCCAAAAAAATTTCAAAAATGAACGTGGTTGTTAGTAGATCTTGTGGCCGATAGGATTTCTCAAATGATTCACTCAACAATTCTTCATGCTAATTAAAAATAAATTCGTATCATCAATAGAAAATGATGTCGCTTTCCTCACCAGTAATAATTAAAAAATTGACTTGTCACATTGTCTCATCTATTTTTAATCATACAATAGAAGCGGAGACATCT